ACGTGTGTCATTACAGGTGTGATTCTTCCAGGTACGGAACTCCTAATAGACAATTGTGATGGCAGACGTTTGGACTGTCTGCAATAATTTATTGGTTGTATTCTTCTCAAAGCAAAGCATCAACTAACTCTCAGCTGACTGGAGGTCAAATCAACCAGAGTGACTGAAATCCCCTGTGTGGGTGTGCAGGACCTTTTAAGAAGGCATCTGTTGGCTGCACAGCTCACTGTCTATTGGTAATTAGAATATAGGTTTCCAGACATAAAAACTGTGTGACTTTGTGGTGTACTTAATGTGCTTTAACCAGCATTTATTGTAGGTACTTGCTTCAGGAGAAAGGAATAAGTAAACCATAAACTATTTAATGATGCTGAAGAGGAAATGAGGTATTTGACATTAATTTCGTAGCTCAGTGGAAGCTCAATGGAAGCTCATTTTCTGAAATAACTTTTACAACTGCTAGTGAATCACTTGGGTAATGACTTAAAATACTGTCTGAACATCAAATATCATCAGTAACATAATAGCTTCCTTTGCCTTCACAGGCAGCATAGAGACACATAGCTGTATTTCCTCCCGTTAATGAGACCGCAAAGTGCTTGCCCGTTGGTCTCTATCACCTTGAACATTCAGCCGATGTGTTTCCCTACTTACATCACTGTCGCTTTGTGGAGGTTTTTGTTCCACTTTGACACTTTGGTAACAACTTGATCAGCGTGCAGGACTGGTCTCTGAGGTGAGTGTTTGCACTTCATTGCCACTCCTAAATACAGGCATTAGCCATCAGTGGTAGACACTGGCCCAAGCCCAGAGTGCCACAGGCTCACAATGAGCTCACTGTCGGGAGCTGAGATCAACTCCCCCTATTCCCCCCTCTGCTTACAGGGACAAACACCACATGCAGAGTTACTGTGCTTATGTCAAAGCTGCAAGACATCCTCAAATTTTTCACTGTCACCCTATTTCTAAGGCCATTAACGCAGACCTTTTCTATCAAGGGTCTAAATATCTGTGTCATCTGTTGCACTTTTGTAATATCATCATGCTATTTGCATGATCTAATAAGCCTACGGCCCTTCTGAATATCTTAATAAAGTACTGGAAAAGCTTTCACGTCGGCTAATAATATTACATATCCTCGGGGAAGTCTGCACTTCCCTCCAACATAATGGAGTCATGTGAAGTTGGCAAGAGCATTGCCAATCATGCGAAACCCACAAAAGAGTTCTTATGACCATTAAGTAATGCCATGGAAATAACCGTCCCTGTTATGGTAGTTCTCATCTACTCAGACACACAGTCTCTGCCAGTAATCAGCGCTTTTCAGTCTGAAGAGGTTGTTAAGGTTTCAGCACAAATGGTAGGTTGGTGAGTGGAAGTGAACAGCCTCACAGTGACTGGATCATATCTTTCCTGTGTGTCTGCAGCTGGCCTGATAAAGGAGACACTGGCTTTGTGACGGGGTTGCTGTTCTCGTGTTTAATTCAGATAGGGATGTGAATGTAAAGAGAGATGTGACATAGGTAGGGGCTAAAGGGGGATTGTGCTCGCATGTGTGCTGACATACGCAGCGTTGCAGTTGACGTCATGCCATGAGAGATTCGGAAGGATCAGCCCAGCTTTCGTGCATGTGTGTGTGAGGACAATCCTCCTTGTTACAGTGCATAACTGCTGGAAATTTCTGGTGTAAGCCAGGAAACCCAAGTTGTCCTTGATGAGCCATCCAGCTGTGTCCTCTGTCAGATAACCTTCCATCGGTTTATCCCAAAGGAACACAGTCAGCACTTTAGGAAACCTTCACCTCTGGCAGCACAGTCCAGCCTAGGACGACACATGTACAAAATCAGTTGACATATTCACAGCATGATCTCCCACAGTACGTACATCAGCTTTTAACCAGTATTCCACTACAGAAATATTAGAAAACGATAAATCAAATTTCAGTATTTTTTTCCATTTAAAATGCATTTTGGGACTCGCTGCTAGATTCCTGACCTGCAGGTTGGCCACTGGCTTAGAGTGTATACCTTTGAATGTTTTAAAATTTTGAATACAGAATGAGTGTCCTTTTTCCTCCTTCATGGTGACTGGCAGATCGGGGTGCCACTAGACGAACCATGCTAAACTAAATTAGAGCGTAGCCGATTGGATTATTAGTATTCTGCACTACCTTCTGCTGCACTCTGCTCCTTTGCATGGTTAAAGGCGCCCTCCGGTAAAAATCTAGTTTTTTACCTTGTTAGCATGCCCATATGGTGTTTTTTTATATACTGGAAGACATATCATGGGCCAACTAAGCAGCCAACACAGGGAATGAGCATTTCCTCCTTAAAGCTTCAGAGTGCTGATGCCACATGGTTTCATATGTGACAAACCCAAAGAACCAATACCATCAGCTTACAAGGCTTAACATTCTTCCTCAAAATCAATTTCTGACTATGCGCAACTTGTGTAGCATTGAGTAGTTTTGAAGCATTTGAGTGGAGATAAAGGTGAGCTGGTGTGCTTGAGCTGCAACAGAGGGTTGGATGGAGATAAAGGTGGGGACTTAATAGATCTCCACATACATCTGTACATCATAAAGAAACCAGAGGTGCAGTATTACAAGCCATTTTAAAGCCGTAATGGATTATTTTTAATGAAAATGCTTGTAGATATGTAATTTGGATGAACAAAGGTGAGTTTATAGGTTTAAGGGTGGTGATCCTGGAGAAGGATTGTTTATATTAGTGTATCAGATAGTTAGCATGTGCCAGATTTGCTGCTGCCCTCATACCTCATCTCTTCTCCCCCTATCTTTTTCTTCTGTACATCCTGGAGTAGTGGATTGGTCCAAGACACTTTGTTTGTTTCCCAGTAGTGTACAAACAGATTTTTTTTTTAGCTTTTGCACATGTAGTGGACTGTGAAGAGATACCACTGAATTTGACAAAAAGTGTGTTGGATTATAATGACATACTTCACCTTTAATCAGTGGGTCAATTTTAATAAACAATCAGACAAATGATCTGTTCTCTCTTTTTTACGAGACACAATATTTTATCAGTGTTTCACATTTACACCTGTTGTACATCTTATTTGACCTGCAACCATTTGCTCAGTGCATGATGTTTTTTTCAGGGTATTTATGAGCTGCTGAATTAAATTTTAAAAAACCCATCTTTGGAAACAGATGAATGTTAGAGTGGACTTTTTCAGTGACACAGTTGTATTTTAGCTTAACAAAATGAAACGTCTTTCCCTGAGCTATTGATGGATCACGTCTCCTTAGTCAATCCACTAATGCATCAGCTTGCTAATCACCAGTCAGAAGTAAATCTTCCATTAACAAACACGCAGACTGTGCAGTTCAGTTGCAGTATTAATGGCCTCTAAGACTAGGCCCCTTACTGAGCAGGCTTTTGCTCATCAAGATATACAAGAAACTGTCTTAGAGTGACATTAGGTTGGTGCACAATATATCCTAAACTGTTAAACCAATCATAGATTCTTCTTTCAACATGTTTTCGTTATTATAAGACATTTAAAGCTAGCTGCATTTTTTATTTAAGGATAAATCTACAATATTTGGAGACCATTTTTAAGATGACCTGAATTTCATATTTGAAAAAATCAATGTGCAATAAAACTGGTAAATAAATAATCCTGATCCCAGTATTTCCTCAGTTGTGCTTCAGTTGCTTTTTTCAGGGAAAGCGTTTAAGTAGTGAATAAACAGTGCAGCATAAAGTCAATAGAGTGCAGAATGAAGAGAGTCTGGTGACTTTTATCTAATCCCTGGACTTCTTGCTGCTCAGCCAACCATGCGACTTGACAGGAGGCCCTTTCCCTGTGGGGGCATTGATGGGAAGACAAAGTGCTGTTTTCCCATGACATCATCGCCGTTAATTTCCTCCATATAGCCTCGAGATGACTGATCTGTCTCACTCTGAAGAGCGCGCAAGACACTCTAGACGGGAATACCCTGGAGATTTATGGAGGCACGTTAACTGTCGGATCTTATTGCCACGTGATCACAAAGTGCAAATTGACTTCAGCGCTGTGCACGTTGATATTTTTAGACAGAAAAAGAACTGGGTCGTGTTTGTTATGCTGTAAGTGATTGATGCTATGTTCAATCAAGCACGTTTTGTGCTTGACATTCCTATAGATCCCCATCATAACACTCTACACCCAGTATATCCCCAGTGGATGACTAACCTACTGTTCAAGCTTCATGAATGTCATTCAAATCTGGCAGCTAATTTAGCCATGAAACACATCCACTGGAACTTGGGAATCTCCCTATTTAGCTGTAAAAAGGGGGGCCCACTTCTACTCTACTCAGTCCGTTGACTGATCACCAAGTGGAAAACACACGATACTTTAATTTAGATTTGAGCACAGATATTGCACAAATTTGACCAGTTTTAGTGTTTCTTGCTATACAGGCTGTTCTATTAATATGTTCTTTTTGTCTTTATATGACTTTGATTGCTATCTTTGTCAGGGTACGCTTGGAAACAAAGTTGAATTTCTTTGATTATTTTACATACACAAATGGTAAAAACCTGGAATTCTTACCAGTGCTGTAAAAAAATGGTGGCTCCACATACTAAAGATATTTTACTTCTTACAGTTTTTATTTGTTTCCATCCTTGTCTCTGTATAGGAACGATGAGACATGTATATTAAATTGATTTGGATGAAATATACCAACTTTGACTTAGATTTTCTTGTGTTTTCCAATAAAACCTTAAGTCTCATATGATTAGTTTAAGGACTGTCAGAAAGTTGAAAGTCTATCAATTACTTTTTTAGTTTTTATTGTTTCTTGTTGTGATAAATGGTGCAATTTTAATAATTTTTTAAATAATATGCCTTTCCCACCATTTCAGAAGTTTAAACTCAAAAGGCCTGCCTAGTTACAACAAAGATTGCATTTTAGGAGGAAGGAACCATTTTAGAATAATGTACTGATCAATTTGTTTTCTCTTCTCCTTCCTTTTTCTCCTCCACAGATCGAGAGGACCAATCCATTCTTTGCACGTGAGTAAACTTCATCTACTGCTAGATTTGTGCTTGATTGATTCAGCGGCACTTGTTATCTTCTGCTACATGAACCGAGTGATCCGGGCCACATTAATGCCTCATTTCCTGTTAATTATCTTTGCTGAAGACAAAGAAATAATGCACTGCAGTATGTTTATCTCCGGCTTTTCTTGTTTGAATTCAAAGAAATTGAAAGTGGCAAAGCTTTTACTGGTAATTACCAAAGTTCATAGGGGCAGTGAAGGTGGACCAGCTGCCCCGGGGTCATGACAGTTATTTTAAAGCGAGTGTCAGGGCGACACTGACCAGACTATAACGACTGAAGAGAAAAGTGAGAAATGTGGGTCTGAGAAATGCCTGACATTTCTGCTACACAGCCCTCTGGCATCATTTCAGTGACAAGTGTCTCCAGATGACAGGAATGTAGCCAAAGAAAATGCCAGAGACAGTATCAGGACATAAGCCATGCAACAGCTCTGTTTCTCAGGCAGCGTGACTGACAAGGCATACGTGTTAGTTTGTCCCATCTAAATACACACAGATGGTCAAAATAACTTGCACACTTTACAAAATAATTCCCTTTCATTTACTGCCACCACTAATACATTCCTGAAGTAGACTGTCATGTAGATTCTTTCTTATGCAACCTCAGACAAATGAAACAACGGAGGAAAAAATGGCGAATTTACGTTGTTTCCTTCATTTATGGCATCTCCACCGACTTATGAGCGTTAGAGAGCAACATTACATTATTCCAGCTTTGTTATTCATTCTAGGATGAAACATCTTTTGAGTTATTCTACTCATCTCTCTATTTTTTTATGTTGTAATAAATATCGCACACAAAAAAAATATTCCAGTGTTGTTTTTTTCCAATATTGTGCAGCCCTACAGTAGACAATATAAGGGACAAAGTAACTTAGGTGATACAGGAATAATAAAGTCCCACAGGGGGGATGAAAACCTGGCTTGATACAAGTTATTATTTTCCTTTATGAAGAGTTTAATTTAAAAAATACGTGGACACTTTATGACCTATTTCTGTGTAAAACACACCTCGCTTTATTTGGTTTATTTCTTTCATTTGCAGACACATTTGCACCGTTTACTCACTGCTCTCAGGCCTGCTGTGGCCAGTTTTATTGATTATTGTGGAGATGCAGTATTGCAGTAACTGCTTCTCGAACAATGCCCATACATTAGTGTAGCCACGGTGTGAGGCGGTGGTGTTTCACTAAGCCTTTATTTAGCCGAGCTTTTATCCACAATTTTCTGTCTGCTATACCAAATCCAAAAGGCTCCCACACATTCCTCCTCGGATGGTGTCATAAATATGCTTTACTACTTTATGAGCTACTATATTCTGCTTTTGTGAAGCGGGCAACAATAGCCTAGATTACTAAGGCTGTTGTGGGATGCCATAAAATTACACTTCATTTTACAATTAAACACCCTTCACTGAAGTAGCATAATGTTCATTTTATTAAATGGTACACATTTTGGGAATTTGATCTTTACAGTTAAGATACCTCATTTTTGCACATATTTGAATGGTTGTTGTGATGTAGAATACAAAGTTATACCCTGCAGAGTTGAGCTGACACATTTCTTACATGTTTGCATGGTAACAGACATTAAGCTGTACTGTAACCAGCGCTCATTGTTTAGGGCTTTGGTACCGATATACACAGTCACCGTGCAAAATCAAGCTGTGTGAACCTCACAAGTACTGATTAGGTCAGCACTCCCTGTTTATATGAATATCTGAAATGGAGGAGCTGAGGAATGTAACACCCGGCAGTCCAAGGCCGACAACAGACACACTGACGCAATCCCTCCCTGATTACCCTCTGTTCACAGTGGCTGACAAAATTGACAGCACTTCCACACCGCTCTGTCGGTTAGTTCTCTGAGCCACATCACATTCACACAGTCTGAAAGCAAAACAATATTTTGTGCATACTTGGTGTATGCAAATTAGCACGTACTGTAAAACCTCAGGTATGCTCTAAATCTAAACTGATCCCCCAAAGTTTTTGCATGGCTTGAAGGTGGCTCGAAAATCTCATTCCTGTTTTTCTGTGCCACGGTCACCGTATGACACAGCAGTGCAAAGCACGCCAGCGACCACAGCTGCTAAACTGGACCGACAAATGCTGAAAAATATAGTGCAGGGAAGGATACACATGATTAGATGTGTACCAGTGTTTGGTTTGAGATTATATTTGTGCATTTGTAGTGGAAAATAGGGCAGTCGTAGTGTTCTGTCCAGCTTTTTAACCCCACGCTTACAGCTGAAAATCTGAAAAGGAAAACAGTTCTACTAGGATTTATTGATCCACTGAGTAGGTTATTGATGTGAAGACATTAGTGTCCCACTATCCTGAAGATACCTCTTTTTTTTTTGTCTTCTCGTGCCTTGCAGAGGTGAGTCAGGAGCTGGCAAGACGGAAAACACGAAAAAGGTGATTCAGTACCTGGCACACGTTGCCTCCTCCCACAAAGGCAGAAAAGACCACAACATTCCTGTGAGTATTCTGTCAAACTTTACAATTCTCATCTTTTTCTTATTACTTTATTTTAAACTAGCAATGCCTGTTTTAGGCCTTTGACGAAATAAGCCTGTAAAAATGTGTTATTTTTGGATTTTTTTGGCGCCCCGTAGTTCAGTATATAGAGAATTAAAGCTACTAATTAAAGCTTGTGGGATTGTTGTGGGCTGCAAGTGATGATGTACCGAACACCTGCACTGGGCGCCATTGCTTTGTGCATCGGATGTGTGTGTGTGTGTGTGTGTGTGTGTGCACAATCTAACAATTTGCATTTGTTTATTTGTAACAACAGCCAGAATCACCTAAACCAGTGAAACTACAGGCAAGTTTTTATGCTCTATTACACACCATGTTCATGTGCATGCTACACTAACATTGTCCTTTCAAACCAAATGATTTTTTCTAGGCTGATAAAATATCTGTTTGCCCTCTGAGGGCTCATCAAATCATGTCAGTGAATAGTTCAAATGCCTGGTGTTATAACTGAAAACAGCATATTTAGCATCTACTTTGTCTTTCTCTGCCAGGCACAAAATGCAGTTGTAAGTAAACTTTAATAATGGCATGATTATTCAGACTGTTTCTTGTGTTTGTTCACATGTGCTATACTGTAAACTTGCTTGCGATTATTGTGGTTTACACTGTGAAACGTAATGACATGCATGCTGTATGTGTATTTGTTGTGGTAGCCACACGTTGAGCCTTGATTGTCATTTTTATTGCTGTTAAATGTTATTGAGATGCTACTTGTAGTTCATGTGTCAGTTAAAAGTTTACAGTCCTGTCATGATTACATGTGTGATACTATATTTGTGCTTTTGACTGTTGAGGTAGAGCTGGTGACTCCACCGTTCTGGTTCAAAAGTATCAAGCATATCGCTGTAGAAAGTTAAGATTAGCAAATTTACCTCTAGGACTGAAGTGATTGTCTGTCCTGGTGTTCAGGACCCAGAGCCCTGCTGGTAGTCCATGTAGTCCTCTAATAAGCCACAGAATTACAGTATACCTGAGTTGCAGGGTGATAAATTACCCCAGAACTTAGCAGTACTCTGGGTCCTGAGGTTCCAGGATAACAGACCACTGAGGTATTTATAATAACAACTGCTGCTAATTCCATTCATAGACTGCTGTAGATTGTGCATAGATGTTAATGCGTCATTGTAGAAATGTTCTGCTTTAGCTAAAGGTTCACTTGTATCCAAGACATTACTGCAGTTTATTATTTTAAATATTTTCTATTTATTTAACAATTGAATCTCCCCATGTCCTACAGAGTGGACCCCTGTTTTATGTGAGTAGTATGTAGTTTCTCACCTCTCTCACCTCACTGACAATATAAAAGGGGTGCTTTACCCACTCTGTTGCCACCTACTAGATAAAATAACTATTAGCGCTTTATCATTAACCTAAGTTGGGCAGTAGATGCTTTCCATCCGCCTTAATTCGTCTGCTGTATTTTTGTTTTTATCCTTTGCATTGCATGATCTTTACTTTTCGTCCTCACTAATTTAATAACATTTGCTTCTTTCAGTCGTTTACGATTTGCATTTCTTACAATCTGAGAACTTCTTCTTAGATAGAAGTCAACTATCTGCTGACAAGGGCTGAACAATTTGAGAAAAATATCAAACTGAAATTTTTCTTTTGCACCTACATTGACATTCTGATTTTCTGATTAAACTATAGGTCTGTGTTTTTGGTTTAAATAGTAAAAAATAAAATACAGTCACACACTTCTTTTGTTTTGGCTCAAACCTCAAATCTTCTTGATGTTATCCCAGAGTTTATCGCTTGGTCAGTGTAAACTCAACCTCTCAGCAATTTTAATATAAAAAATCAGCAACTTTCCTTCCATTTATTAAGATATTGACACTGCCGTCTCATATGAGCACATAAAAGGACGTCATAAAGGATAAGCTAGATGAAATCCCCAAGCTCTTTTTACTACCCTAAATGCTCCCATTTGCTGGATTTTATGTATCCTAATGTTTACAGTATATAAGTAAAAAGCTAGACAGTTGCCCCCAAGATATTTAGCCTACATTTACACTAAATATGATTAAAGTGGTTTGCTGGTTTTCAAGTCAGCTCGTCTTAATCACTTGACCTAGTGGCCGACGCGGGACTGCTTGTGACCTCTTTTCTTCCTAAGAATCTGTTCCAAATGAGTTCTCCACATGGGCTTGTTCCTGTCCAGTGTTCTCGTTTTTTTCGCTGGTGGAAAGAGAGACTTGTAATATTTGTCTGGCCTTGTGACCTCTGAAGCAGATGTTGAACAGTGTGTGCACATCCACAACTGGCCTCTGGCTCAGAAGATTTATTGGGACATTTGTGACTGATCCTCTTGGACTGCACTAAATCTGTCCTGAAGTGCTGCTCTGAAGCCAAACAGCCTGTACTGAGACGAACTTGTAGCTGTTTGGTAGGAAAAATAAATACTGTGATGGAGGTGATGAGGGATCTTTTTTTAGTTTAAAAAAAGAAGGGGGTGTTTCTTGTGGTGCTGGCTGATAGTGTGTGTCCCAGTAGTTCCGAAGCCTCTCAGATTGCTTCCATTTTATCACAGCTACACAACAATTGGCCATCTCAAGTGGAGGAGCCAGTCCTGTTGGCTGTCAGATGTCTGACATGCTCACTTTGCAACAGGAATGTGGGTCAACTCCTAATGCTGCCATTGGACACCCACTGGTGTTTGTAATCTGCCCTTTGTTTGTGTGCGCACAACAGACCACACAGATGAGTAGAGATTGCCAATGAACAATTTTAACTACCAAGCTGCACCACAGGCCTGTGTTTATGTAGAAACAAAGGCTTTTGGTTTGAATCCTCTGCCCTCTGTGGGCTGCACCGCTGCTCAGATGGAGAAGCGCCTGGTTTATCCAGTTCAGCCCTGCTTCATTCCAGCTGCTCAAAAACTCAATTAAAAGCAGCCCATCATGCTCTTTGGCCAAAGATCACATTACATGTCTCACATCCTGAGCGCAATGCAGATTCCTCAGTTCCCCTTGGTGGAAAATGTCCTACGCAAAACCTTGAGTGTGCGCAGCTATTTTTGTCGTAATGGGAAAATATTCCTGTCGGCCACAAGAAGAGAAATAACGGCGCAGGAGAAATTGTTTTCCTCTCAGCCATTTTGGATTCTCTGGTCATGACGAAGCCCTCAATGTGGCTTAGATTGAAGCATAGTGGAAACACCTGTCTAAACATCTGCATAAGTCATTTATGTATTTATCCAAGTGTCCTGCTCGACAAAAATACGCCAAACTGTCTCTGTTGTGAGGTCTGAACCTGACATGATAGATCGACTTTCTTGCTTTTGTCACAGAAGGAAGATAAAATTCCCCAGATTGTTTTTTCAGTAACTACCGAACACCTTGATGCATCAGTCATTAATCCTCAGTCTGCCTGGAGAGGGTTCAGTTCAGGATCATTTTTTATTTGTAGCTTAAACCTGAAAAGATTGAATTTCTGCAAATGGAATTAACTGTGTTGTGGAAGATCGATGTGCTTCAAAAAATACAAAAATCCCAAAAGCCCACTGCCAAGTAGTGGGTCCGTGAAACTTACTATAAGTATGTACCTTTAAAATGTTGTCCTAGTTGGTGAATTGCTGGTTTTACAAAAGCAAAACTTCACATTAAATGTTTATTTTAATTACAAACAATGATTTCTTTGATGATTTAGGGATGACATGAAGACCTTTTGGGTACATCTTTACAAACTAGAGAAGGGAAGAAGGTTTTTCTTTTTTTTACTGCTCACTTGAGTCCTGTCACATAAAAACGTCACCTCTTAGTAGATGGCGTGGTCACACTGTCTCGCATCGGTTAGTGAAAAGCTCTTTGGGATGCACAGTTCACCACATTGTTCCCAGAGAAAGTTGAAATTAACCTGCGGTTTGGAATTGGGAAATCTTCAAACTCTCAAGACGGTGTGAGCAGCGACAGAACAACTAAAAAAACACTGCATTCAAAACATTGTTCAACACAAAACTGAACGCAAGTTAACTTTATTATCAAGATTGGTCTGCTTAATCCCTATTAATAATTATTATTATACATTATTCTCCAAATACTGCTGTTAGGTGTGTGCCTGGTTTACAAGCATTTTTAGTTGTTAGTAGATTACTTACATTGTACCAAATCAGGCATTATCTGTCAGGAGATTTAGTCTTTGTGTGAATGCTTGATTGGAAAAGATGTTTAAATACTTTTCTATAGACTTTTGGCCTTTCTCCACCATCAAATACTCATTTCTACTTTCTGCTTACACTTAGTTTAAACCGTGTGACTGTCACTCTTGTGGTCATCTTCTCTCTGGCTTTGTTTGTTCAGTTTACCTTCATTGGGATAATCTCTGTGGAACCTCTCTGTATAAAACCACTTCACAAGTCTTGCACTGTCTTTGCATGCTCATGTTTGTTTTTCCAGTCGTCAGTGAAACTCACAATATCTCATAATTTTTTGTTTGTTGGTCTTAACTCTTTACACGGTGACAAAGGACCTCCTTTAACACCTCTCTGGGTTTTTGTTTTGTTTTATTTGGTTTTTAGGGTGAATTGGAACGTCAGCTGCTACAGGCCAACCCCATCCTGGAATCTTTTGGGAACGCAAAGACTGTGAAAAACGACAACTCGTCACGCTTCGTAAGTGACGAGTTCCATGACAGCCTCCTCTGTCACAGCGCTGCCTTCGCTGAACTTCATTTGGCATTTAAATCAGATTTCAGCAAAAGGCATTTGCATCTTAAAAGCAATTCGATCATCCCTCTGTTACTGTAAGCTATTATACAGAGGCGGTTTAGCCAGAGACTGGTGCCTGCTAGTCATTAAAGATGCCTCTGATTCACTGGAGCCCCTCAGACTGGAGGCAGCTCTTGTTAACAGTGATGTAGGACAGGAGGGATGTGTCTTGGCTTAAGTGCTTCATAGGCATATTCATAGGCATAAGGCATATTCGTTTGTCAAACTGTGGGACTATTTTGGTAATTAGATTTCATTAGTATAATATATTATCAATAGTTTCCATTTAGTATCAATGAAAACATGATCAGAAGTAAATATTGCTTTGTTTTGGATAAAACATACTAGTCAGCCCTGTAATGATCTGCACCGTTGTTTACGTTTATAAAGGATCCATACTGACTCTCAGTACATTAGTCTGTAACCGTCACACTTAGCAGGTTGTTGTTGTCAGTAGACTTCAGTGTTTGTTAGAACACAGTCATTCTGTTGGCGATTGGTTGCTTTTTATCTTGTCTGGTGCGCTTCCTGAACACTCATCTTTCTGTTAATCTCTGCAGGGGAAATTCATCCGGATTAACTTTGATGTCACCGGATACATTGTCGGAGCCAATATTGAAACCTGTATCCTGTTTTAAAATGATTAACTAGAACGGTCCAGTCACTGTAGCTGAGATATTTGTTTTTTTAAAAAAAGAAAACAAAACATTTTTTTTTCTGTGATCTCAGTCAATTTGGCATGTGTACATTGAACATGTATGTAATATATTTTTGTTGTTGTTTATGATTGTATGGACTTTTATTACAAAAACAGAGTCATTTAGTTTTGGCGACTCATTCCGGCCACTCTCAGACATCACTTGTCTGGTTTAACATTTGCCATACTGACCCAACGAATAGATTTGCTTTTCTTGACTGCTCTGCGTCAGACTTACTGGAGAAATCCAGAGCTATCCGTCAAGCCAAAGATGAGCGCACCTTCCACATTTTTTATCAGCTGCTGGCTGGAGCTGGAGAGCACCTCAAATGTGAGTAGACTGTTAGACCCTCTGGGTAAATCATAACTCTAGACCTTAGATGACTTGTGACAGTAGAACTGTACAAAGCAAATGTATAATTTATGACATTACACAGCACATAATTGATTTTTAACAATTTGCATTATGGTCATCAAAAGTCAGCGATTTTGTCTTTCCATTTGTAATGTCATGAAAAACCATGTAGCCGTGTCATTTAGTGTGTGTCTGTCTACTGCAACAAAAAGCCAGTCCCCCTGTCTTTCCACATGAATTCTTAGCTTTTGGGGGAATAGTCACATCTGAACCATGGTTTTAAATGTTTTTTCCATTCTTCTCTCCACAGCGGATCTGCTTTTGGAAGGATTTAACAACTACCGTTTCCTGTCCAACGGCAACATCCCAATCCCAGGCCAGCAGGACAAAGACAACTTCCATGAGACCATGGAAGCCATGCACATCATGAGCTTCGGCCACGAGGAGATTCTGGGTATGATTTCTGGAACACCAGCATTAAATATACACTCAGTTTCTCAAATAGGTTGCTTTGACTCATTCTTTAAATGCCCTGCCTGGTGTACAAACTGGTGGAATCGTCCAAGCAACGATCACAGTCTTTGGTACGGAGATTGTTTGGTTCAAAGTAGTTTCAGTGAAAGAGAAGCTTTTCTCAGTTCAATTCTGTAATATGACATTTCTCAGAAAGAGATCTGAGGAAATTGCTCGAAAACTGGGTAACTACCATTAGTGCATGCGACACTGTAAAGGGTAACTGTCTTCCCTCGCTCAGGTCAGGGAAAAAATGAATTTATCAGTCTACAAGCATTCTCTTTTGCAATTGTAAACATTTGTTGACAAACATATGTCTTCTCCTTTTACATTGTTGTGCTACCAAATATTAACCCCCCTCTTCATGCTAACAGTCAGGTGTGGTTTTTAATTGATAGGTGCAGATTGCTGATCACACCAAATCACAGTTAATTGGATTAATTTACGAATGTATTCAAAATGATTAAATTAGTGACTGTTGGGTGAGTCCTGTTTAAATATGCTGCATAGTTATTTTGGCTTCTGTATCTTTATAACCATGTAACGGCCTCATGTTTGTCAGTTTGACTGCTTAAACGCGGCCATATGAGTTGAAAACAATATGTTCCTGTACTAATGTTGTTTTCTCTGGATTCTGATATTTGCAGCCATGTTGAAGGTCGTGTCCTCCGTGCTTCAGTTTGGTAACATTATCTTCAAGAAGGAGAGGAACACTGACCAAGCCTCGATGCCCGATAATACTGGTAGGTTTTCTAGAATTACTTACACCCAGCATCTTCTTGTGCATCTGTTTTATAACCTCAGCAGCCCACAGGTCAAGACACTGTACTCCTCCTTTTCCCCTTCTAATATATACTTCAGCTGCTCCCCTCCACTGTTTCCCTCCCTCACGCTGTGCACCTCATCCACAGTACAGAGGCACTGCTGATTTATATCTTTTCACCCCCTGAGCCTTGTCAACTTGCCATTAAGCCACATCATTGTGAGGATTTACTCCTGAAGGAAATAGGGCACAGGCTTCTAGTTCCTCCACATGTGGCACTGCACATTTGGCCTTTTAAAGGGAGAGACAGGGAGCAAGAATGAGACAAATGCCAATGCCACAGCTCAGCCAGATATTCTCAGATGCTACAGCAAGCAAGCAGGACTGACACGTGTGTGTAAGTAGTGAGAATTCGCTGATCCAGACCAGATCCTGCTTTTTCTACTTTTCCACCAACTCCAGCCATGTGAAATATGACATTTTCCCCTGTCACATTTATTATGAAAACTGTGTTCAATCTTAATATTAGTCAGTGAAGGGAGTTGTTGGCCTAGCATTGGTGACAGTGATACATGACTCCTGCTTATATAATATCATTTTTAGTTAAATAATCTAGACGTCACATTGCATTCAGAGTAATGCTGGGAAATATCCTCATTTCTATTAAATCACTCTTGGAAAAACAAACTATAGTTTCTGCACATTTAGTCACTGCTGTCTTATTTTCAGTCTTGATAGAACAGTTACACCTGCAGGTGTAAATCAATCATATGGTTTGAAAACTCCTACTGTGCCTTCATTTTAGTCTGATTTAAATTAACTTATTGCCCTTGTGTGCTTTTTCCACTACCCAGCCGCTCAGAAGCTGTGTCATCTGCTGGGTATGAATGTAATGGAGTTTACCAGAGCCATCCTGTCGCCAAGGATCAAAGTGGGCAGAGACTATGTCCAGAAAGCACAGACTAAAGAGCAGGTCAGTTTGCTGTGTGTGATGTTGTTGTTTAAATATACTGACTAACAGAGTGTGTTTCCTCTTTAGTCTTTTGCCAGCTCGTTAGTGGGGTAATACAGTTGTAAAGATGGAAGAGTTATCATGGGCATCCAGAGCTCTGGTAGTAAAATTCAGCTTCAGTTTCTGCATAGACAGTGTTTCATAACGAGCATTTGGAGCGTTTCTAAGTTTTGGATTGACATGATATTCGTAAATCCTTATTGCAAAACCCTATGTTGGTTAAGTTGAATGTACAAACCTGGTTACATAAAAACATGAGGAGAGAATGCAAATATGAGGCATAAGGTGGACTTTGGTAAACATCCAATCACAGCCTACTTGCCTATCCATCGCCCTCCCAACCACCCCTCTCTCATCAGACCTGCATCATTGCATAGAAATCAGTCGCTGTATACACTTGCAGAAGAGGTGAAACACAAAAAAACAAGCAGATTCGATTCAGGGAGCATTTAGAATATTCACAGTACGCAGTCTGTGTATGGATATAACCCGTGTCTTATATGTACTTTATGTCTCTGTCACATCTCACACATCTTTGTTTTCTTTGTTTCTCGTACTCTGATCAGGCCTGTTCCTGTACTGTCACATCGTTCGTTTCACACTCTTCTCTCGTCTCTTCTCTGCCTCCCTCCAGGCCGACTTTGCCGTTGAAGCTCTGGCCAAAGCAACATACGAGCGTCTGTTCCGCTGGCTGGTCCATCGCATTAACAAAGCTCTGGACAGAACCAAACGACAGGGTGCCTCCTTCATCGGTATTCTGGACATTGCTGGTTTTGAGATTTTCCAGGTTTGTATTTGAATTCTCTGTTTTTGAATCTTCACAGAAAGCTACCTGTATACTTGTATTTCTTGTCATTTGTGGGTACCTCCAGTGACAGTGCTGTTCTTGTTTGTATTACTTTTCTCCTCCTGCAGCTGAACTCATTTGAGCAGCTGTGCATCAACTACACCAACGAGAAGCTGCAGCAGCTCTTCAACCACACCATGTTCATCCTGGAGCAGGAGGAGTACCAGAGGGAGGGCATCGAGTGGAGCTTCATCGACTTCGGCCTCGACCTGCAGCCCTGCATCGACCTCATCGAGAGGCCGGTTAGTGAGAACAACAAGCTACTAATGATATAAATTAAGCTTTTGAAAACGTACTGACTTCCTACCTTCCATTAATGCTTGACATATTTAGCTATACTGGCAAACTTTTACGCAATTAATACTACTTTTTTTTTTTAACACTTTTTCTCTGATTACAATGTAAAAGAAAAGTTGTTCATGTCTTGCTTTTGTCTTTTGTTGTGAAGCTTATTATTTTGTTGCCTTATTGAGAAAGCTGTAAAGATATAAATACCTTCAAAGGTGTGTAAGACACTTTTATCTATTAAACTGCAAATAGCAAAACCGTGGCCAGAAGTGGCAAGAGCTCTAAAAGGTCTTTTGTGCAGTAGACCAATCTTATAACATCATAATTTATTGAAAAAAGGAACAAATTACAAAAGTACTAAAATGAACTGCAGGCTTTTTCCCTATCTGCTTGGTGTAAACACATCCTGCAGCACAGTTCAATTCATGGATAAAGTCACAGAATTTTTATCATGGGACTATTAGTCGGTGCTGAGTCACTAATGGCTTCATGGTTGCGACGAGTAGCGCCGCATTTTTTTTTTGCTTTTTACAGAATCAGGTTTTTACAAACTGTTTGTTTTTGGGAAATTTTTAAATAGAAAACTTAGAATGAAATTATAGTGATGAAATCTAACAGTTTTTAGCTCAAATGTGATTAGCAAAACTTCACAGGTGAGTAGCTAAAGGATCATCAAAAGGCAGAATAATAAATAACATAAATGTGGCTTTTTAAAAAAAAAAAATAACATGCCTTTAAAACGTGCCACAGGATTTTGAAGTTCTGAGGGTTAAAGAGCAAAAAGAAAGAAGATAAAAGCTGTTGTTTTGCTGCTGTAGGTCAGTCCACATTACTGTCCACTCTCTCTGGAGCCTTAAATTCTGTCCTGCGTTATAATTCCTTCAGGCGAATCCTCCCGGAGTGTTGGCTCTGCTGGATGAGGAGTGCTGGTTCCCCAAGGCGACGGACAAGACCTTTGTAGACAAGCTGATCCAGGAGCAGGGCACACACACCAAGTTTCAGAAGCCCCGCCAGCTCAAAGATAAGGCCGACTTCTGCATCATCCACTACGCCGGCAAGGTGCGCTTGTTTCATCTCATCAAAAATCACAACTGACTGTTTTTAGAGCACGTTGCACCTCTCTTCTAAAAAACACAGACATGTAGGTAAAACGCAGTCATAGGTCAGAACAGTTACAAAGCTGATGTTTCAGTGTGATTTTCAGTTTATTATAAAGTATGTGAATAATTTCCTTACATATAGAGTATAGGATAAGTGTGACTCCTTTACTTCTTCCTGGACTTCAGTTTGATTTGAGGGTAGTTTATTCATTCTGTCTACATTCATATTTTCCTCATGATCTCGTTTATCCCCGATGCTGCAAAAATCAACAAGTGAAAAGTAGCTGCCAGTCAAAGGTCAGATGAAACAATGACGCAAAGTTCTCTTGTGGCGAGATTTCAGGGAAATGCTGACGCCTGGTTTGATTTATATGTCATTGTGTGGGAGTGGGTTTGGAAGTCGTCAGCGGTGTTATGCAAAAGAACACGGCGTTTGTCTTTCACAGCGACCTGCTGAGTAGCACATCTGCTTACCATTACGTGGTCTGTGTCGTCTTACGCCACAATATTTTAGAAACTTAAAGATTGCAGCTCGAAGAATGTCTGCTGTGGAAAAAAATCTGCAGCGCCGTGAAGCCAAATGTTGTCAACATAGGTATGCAAAAGCCAAAAAAGAACAACCTTGTGTACAGCCATATGCAGAAGTTTATGCAGCAAACGGGGACAAAATGATAATTTGTTCATTTTTTTGATTTACATAAATCAACACATTATGCAAACCTTTTTTTTTTAGTCTATAAACTTGCATAATACTTTGTCTTTAACAATGTGTGACCAGCTGAAACATACTGATGCACTGTGTCTGTGAGAGCACTGACAACTGAAGCTCAAACTACATCATGGAAACACCTTCTCTGAACTACTTTATACATATCTTTGGCTTTTCTGTTGTGCTTTTTCCGTTAGCTGTCAGCTGACACCAGCCATGCACTCCATCCAAATCCTTAAAAGTCTGCAGGGTTGATGAATCAGCATTATTATATTTTTGTTCTCCATGGACATAATGAGAAGTTGTGATTCACAGATCTCTAAATAAGTGAAGTTAAATGTCACCAAAATCAATTTTAGGGATTTTTTTTTTTTTCGACAGTTCTACAATTTCATTTAGCAGATGCTTTTATCTAAAGCGCTGTGCATCTGAGAGCAGATGCAACACAAGCAAGGATCTAGTCAGGAGAAAACTATCTAGATAAATGCCATAGAACAAATTCAAGTATGATAGGGCGTTGATGCCAATAGCAGGCTGTGTGGGAGGTAATAGGACTTTTTTTGTTTGTTTGTTTTTTTGTTTTTATGTTTGTTTGTTTGTTTTCGGGCAGTCAAGTGCAAAGGTGTTCTGTGAAGAGTTGGGTCTTTAGTCTTTTCTTAAAGACTGAGAGGGGGTCAGCAGATGGAACAGAGTTTGGTAACTCATTCCATCACTGGGGAACCGAAGAGGGGAAGAGTCAAGCTATCGACCTCGGGTCCTGTTGTGGTGGTTGTATCAGGCGGTTTTTGTTGGTCGAGCTTAGTTTGAAAGACAACATGCCTTTTAAACATGCCAGTAGGTTTTAGGGTACAGAGGATTAAAAGCGATGGGTGATCACATCAAAGAATGATTTGATGTATTCATGGTATTATTGTTTGAAAGCACCGTCACTTTACAGCATTTTTTATTATTAATGTGACATATGAACGGTTTACTTTTGATCTGTATCAGATTTCTAAAAAGAAGGGATAGTTATAAAAAATATTTGTTATTGTTATGTGGTAGAAAAAAAGTAAAGAGTCCATATCGCTGAACTGTGTCACTGTGTTGTTACAGGTTGACTACAAGGCAGATGAGTGGCTGATGAAGAACATGGACCCTCTGAACGACAACGTGGCCACACTCCTGCATCAGTCAACGGACAAGTTTGTGGCTGAGCTGTGGAAAGATGGTAATCTGCCACTTAATCATCTCTGAGCGTTAAAATCTGTTGTAGATACTAGAAGGAATCGATTGTAGTAACACTTCCTGTAGCATTCATTGTGTATGTACTTGTTACTTAGCCAGTTAACAAGCACATCAAAGTGTCTGTCACTCAAGCCTACTAACAACAGCTGTCTGCCTTGTTGACCCAGGTCTATACATTTCTAAAAAAATGAACGTATTAACACCCTCCCCTCCTCCTCTCTTTCTCTGTGTTGTAGAGATTCAGACCATTCAAAGGGCCTCATTCTATGACAATGTCACTAGTCTGGATGAGCCGGCAGGTGAATGACTGGGTCGTGCTGTAGCAGACCTGGGCCAAAATTAAAAACTGCTGATAATTTACCAGTGTTGGCTTTTGAAACCACACTGCTCAGGGTGCTTAGAGGGGCTAAACATTAGCGCTCCCCAAGCAGGTTAACTTCGAAAAGTTTGCTTGTATATTTTTGGCTCAGATCTGGCTGTTTGTTTCATGCTTCAGCCGATGCCGTGTCTGTCATAGCTATAGTGGCTCCCATTTGCTTCCAGGCTGCATGGCTCCCCTGTCTCAGCCAAAAGCCACAGTGTCTAATTCCTAAATCAGTCGAAGTAGCCTGTAGTCATTTGCTCCCTTTAGTCAAACCACTGTGCTTCAATTTGTTTCACTGTTTTTTGTTGGTCTTGTGATCTTTGTATGTTCAGTAGCCTTGAAGCAAACATTTAGACTCTAGTGCAGCTGTTTCTGAGTCCTATTCTCCTCAATGATCAACATCCACCAACAAATTAAGCTCTTGGAAGCTTGAGAGAAGAATATTTAATAACATTAATTCCCTCTCTTCCTCCTTCCTAGACAGGATCACAGTGGCAGGGAATTGAAACCAGATGTTGTTCTTGGTATTTGGCTTTGTCTCTGAGCTCAGAAATCATCTTGGAGGGTCCAGACAGCGGGCCATGTATCACGTCAGCGTAATTCCAGCAGTATGTCACTTTTAGCTTTAATTTACCTGCTGGGACATAATAAGTGACACAGTAATTGAGAGTTAAAAATTACTGGCCGTGTCATTTTGTGAAGCGTTTGTAGACTATGTCTACCAACATTGCTGCCGGATTACAGCCTGAGGTCATAACATGTGCTTTTTTAAAATAACATGCTGAATGAAAATTATTGAGGGTCGTTTGTTTTGTCTGTTTGGCTTTTGGTCACATACTGATGATCCCAGCTGGTTACCGGTTTAGAGCAGCATTTTGTTTGATATTGGAGGTTCGATGACAATATGCCCGAGGCTACTGCTGAATCAAAATTGCTTTCTGTGATTATCAGGAATCTGATCATTTAAAAATATAACCAGCGCATGAAAATAACAAAGTGTAGTCAATATATAGGTCGATTATGGCTCCCAAGAGAAATTCAGTCTGGTGACAGAATCTTGTATATTTGCCTCAGTGGCTTTAAACGTACTCCTGTCAACACAGTTTTCCAGGCCACATTTCCAACTTGGGAAGTGTGTGTGCATTCTCCTAGAAAAGGCTGGCGTTCAGCTGATGTGGTCACAGCTGGAGAATGACAAAGAGGCGCCATTTTTTGTTTCTCCAGAACCATTTCAGCTGATAAAATCCCAACAAAAACACTGGAGATTGCTCCCGGTGATGTTCCTTCATGAAGATAACACCTGTTGTAGTATTTTAAGTGCACGTACACCGTCCTGCTGTCATAAATACTCCGTAGAACACCATATTAGCAGCAAAAAATAAGCCGCAACACTACACAGCTTAATCCTATTTGTTAAAAGTGCTACGAATGACACTACTCGTGACATTTCCAGTCTACAAGTGTTGTCTCTTGACAACAGGCAGAGTGGAACAGAGTCTCTGTATGTGCAATGAGCAGAGTGTTGCTTTTAATATAAGTTATGAACCAGTGTATTCAGTGTTTGCAGACAGTCCCTTAGATGTTGCCAAATTTTAACAGGCTGAGAACATATTATTTTCCTGGCAGTAGATTTTGTAAAATGTTCAAAAGCTTTCAAGTGACTGCTATCAAGCATCCACAGGGAAGAGCATCTCACTTCTTGCAATTCAACTTTGTCAGTGTTTAGTAGGTTCATCATTTAAAAAAAATAATAAAAAAAACCTCTCCATGTAGCTAGACAAGCTAAGGAATAGATAGACTCTGCGCTTCATCTCCATTTGCAGAAGCTAGCAGTAGTCCCAGACTAGTGTGCCGTTGTTTGACAACACTGTGTAATGTCTTTTACATCCATCTGCACTTTGCCACCGTGTTGCTACCACTGTTCCTACAGTGACTCTCTGCTCCCCACAAAGTGTTCTTGTTCTAACCGCTTCTCTCTCGTCTCCTCACCAGTCGATCGTATCGTGGGTCTGGACCAGGTAGCAGGAATGAACGAGACGGCGTTTGGTGCCACGTACAAAACTAAAAAAGGCATGTTTCGTACAGTTGGACAGCTCTATAAAGAGTCGCTCACCAAGCTCATGGCCACACTGAGGAACACCAACCCCAACTTTGTCCGCTGCATCATCCCCAATCATGAGAAAAGGGTAAATACGTACTTTTATTTGTTAGAGGCTGTGTGTCAAACAGTGGACAGTAATGGACTTTATAAGTATGTGGCTAATTTGTCTCTGTGGAGCATAAATTGTATCATAGAAATGTAGAAGTTTCCTTTCTGTTTCTGTTCTTTTAATGGTGTATTTGTTTCCTTCAGGCTGGTAAACTGGAGCCTCACCTGGTTCTGGACCAGCTCAGGTGTAACGGAGTCTTGGAGGGGATTCGTATCTGCAGACAGGGCTTCCCCAACCGCATCGTCTTCCAGGAGTTCAGACAGAGGTGACGGATGAGAAAGAAACTTTTTGAACTTATTTCTTCAAAGAGAAAAGTGGGGAGTTCTTTTACAGTTTGCATTTATGTTCTACACAGATATGAGATCCTGACGCCCAACGCCATCCCTAAGGGATTCATGGATGGAAAACAAGCCTGTGAAAGAATGGTAGTGCAATGTTTTTCTTTCTTTTTGTATTTTTCTTTTCAAACCACTACTGCTGCAGCTGTGAAATATAAAGTGTCACAAAGGAAGCGAAATTCATGGTTCCTGCATGTGCGTGTGATGATCGATGCGGACAGTAGATGTGCTTGATGTTCCATTCATGCTACAATAGATACGTGTCGACCTGGGCCACAGACGCATTACATTGCCTTTTATACTGAGCACAGAAACACGCAGGTTTCTAATAGACGTCTCTGAAAAGCCAGCTGTGCCTTTACACTTTATATACAATATAGCAGCTAGTCACAGATTGGGCTGTTGGACTGCAACAATAATTATTCCTGAGGTATTTTTTTGTTTGTTTGTTCCTTAATAGTTTCGAATTAAATGATTATGTTGAAGGTTACTTGAGGCCAGTCTCTGATTTGTGCTGACCGACATGTATGAAAAACAGCTCCAAGTGTGAATGAAATCAAAGCAGCTGTACAACAAGCTCAGCTATCGTTAACATAGTGTTATCCTAAATGAATGAAATGAAAAAAAATGTTAATTTATTCTAATTGTCAAGCTACTGAGTAGTTCCTTTTTTTAAAAAAAATTTCTTCCCTTGTGCTTGATTTTTATGCCAAAATGTTTTTCAAACATGACAAGAAATAAATTCTGCTTAAAACAAAACATGAATTTACCACCATCCATACAAATTCTTTCTCAACAAGCTTCTCTGTTTCTTCCATAGATCCAAGCCCTGGAGCTGGACCCCAACCTGTTCCGTATCGGTCAGAGTAAGATCTTCTTCAGAACTGGTGTTCTGGCTCATCTGGAGGAGGAGAGAGACCTAAAGATCACTGACATCATCATCTACTTCCAATCTGTGTGCCGTGGATACTTGGCACGCAAGTGAGTATCGGATATGCTGCTGAACGTCCTCTTTCTCATTGAAGTTATATCTAGATTATAAAGTCGTGGTCTGAGTTTCTATCCACACTCTGTAGGTGATATAGTTTGTAAAACAGCTATACTCAGTAGTTTGCATTCTCCTTCATATCCCGTCCCTCCTTGTAGACCTCCGTGCACTATTGCTTGTATATCAAACATCATATGCTTTATCAATCACACAACCAGAGCCTCTGTTGGCTTCATGTCTTCAACTTCTACTCAGTGTGCTGGCATTCACAGCTCTCCTCTGGAGGCCCTTTATTTTTATTCAAACTGTGTCTTCGGTATGAACATATAACTTGTATTTGGACAGCCAAGATGTACCTAAGGATATTGATCCAGCAGTTGAGATCCAAAGCATCCAGATGTTTGGCAGGTGCAAATGTATCAGTCACATATATGTACTTAAAGCTCTTCCCAGTATTTCTCTTTTTATGTAATGCTGTCATATTTGAACTTGCTGCAGGTTTTCACAAAAACAAAAAAATGAATAATTAGTGGTAATAACATAACATGAAGCAGCACATTGAGGGAAAAGGCACAAGTAGGGTGTCATCAATCAGACACATACTCAGTTCCTCTTTTAAAGCAGCTACAGTCAATATTTTTATCATAAAAATGCAGCAAATGAGAGTGTGAAAGCAGTGTAATGTAATGTAAAAGGGGTCTCACACAGTCATGGACCTGCAGTAGATTGTCACTTGAATCTGCAGCTTCTCTCAGCTTTATGGAGCTTTACAGATCCTTCTGCTCACTGTGTAGCTGTTTGGCTCCTAAATTTACTGTTGTGGTTCGCTCTCACAGCCCATGTCGTTTTCAGCTGCAGCAGGCAGCTGTTCAGAAACACAGCGTACGCTATCTGCTCAGCACCATGTGACAGACGACGCAGTTTGCAGCTGAAAAGCCATGTTGGCTACAGGGTTGCCATATTAACTGGAAAAGTTTTAGTATGTCAGTGTTTTGGTGACGGCTTGTGTTGGTTATATCCGTGTTTCCACACCATATATTTCTACACATTTTGAACTATCACATTAGAAAAAGTTCATGAAAAGGGCCAAATATGAAAAATGTTTTTTTGTCTCATTTGAGGTTGTTTGTGATTTTAAAAAGAGAGTTAGTGGGTAATGGATTGGATAACATTTAATTAATGTAACTGACCAGCAGTGTCTACTTCTTTAGCTGTCTTGGTCCCCAGACAGCATAAAACGCGATGGATATATAAGGAAGATGCAACATTAGAATGAAGCAGTATGTCCCAGTCACATACATACTGCATGAAACTGTTCATACTTTGCAGGATCAGCTGTATGTGCTTGAAATAAAAAGACAAAGTATGTGATTTGTAACGCTGCTAGGACTTTATTTCCAGCTTCTTCTACTCTGGCAATTACAGCCATACGTAAAGTAGCATGTAGCGCCACCTTCTGACCGTACTATGCAGCCTATCAAATCAAACCCCATCTAAAACAGTGAATAGAAACGACCCTAATTTTCTTTTTGTCTTTTTAAAAAAAAATTTAAGGGGCGACATTTTAAAAGTTTCTGTCAAATTCGCTTGACAGTTACATGGAATCACACCTATTGATTTGTGCCCTGTGCTTTATCTTCTTAACTTTAGAGCCTTTGCTAAGAAGCAGCAGCAGCTGAGTGCCCTGAAGGTCCTGCAGAGGAACTGTGCAGCTTATTTAAAGCTGCGACACTGGCAGTGGTGGAGGCTCTTCACCAAGGTGAGAACCCAGACAACAACCAAAGTAGTTCCCATGTACATACTCTCCATTTAAGAATCCGAGCCCTGCTGACAATCTTTACTTTAATTATTACATGAATATGACATTACATGTACTCATAAACAACAGTCTAGACTTTAGTGTCACTACTGCTTTTTTGCTATTGTTTGTATCACCATGAAAGAGGATGTGAATTCATTCTATGTGGTACACAAAAAAATTCAACCAGTAGAGGCTGATTTTCTTTCTCTGTTTCAGGTGAAGCCGCTGCTGCAGGTCACCAGGCAGGAAGAGGAGCTGCAAGCCAAAGACGAGGAGCTGGTAAAGGTGAAGGAGAGGCAGCTGAAGGTGGAGAACGAGCTGGTGGAGATGGAGAGGAAACACCAGCAGGTAAAATGTTGTGCAAAGCAAATATTTTCACTTGAAGTAAACTTAAACAAATTAAAATATGATAAATCAGTAAATAACTATGTTTACTCCTTCTGTCATATGTGTTTCCTGTTTTTGATGAGTCTTTTATTCGACAACATGGTGCATGTTTTCCAAACTGTCTCCTCTCTTCAGCTCGTCGAGGAGAAGAATATTCTAGCAGAGCAACTCCACGCGGAGACGGAGCTGTTCGCCGAGGCTGAAGAGATGAGGGTTCGTCTGCTCTCTAGGAAGCAAGAGTTGGAGGAGATCCTTCATGACCTGGAGTCCAGGGTGGAGGAGGAAGAGGAGAGAAACCAGAGCCTGCAGAACGAGAAGAAGAAGATGCAGTCGCACATCCAGGTTCATCTTACAAACTTCTGTCCTTGTTTTGTTTTGACGTTCTGACATCCAGTGCGTCATACTCCAAATTATTTGAAGGATTACATTTGGAAGGTTGAAAAGTACATTTTGTTTTACACTTGCCTTTTAAAAAAGTTACGCACAGTCATAATTATCCTCAACTGAATACTGACATACCATTGAAAACTATTTTCCTTCAATATTTTATTTCCCTGATTTCTGCCAAAGTCGGAACAGTTTTGTTTTTTCACATCAGATATTTCTGCATTTATGTTTTTTCTGTATTCTGCATAGACCATCTGGATTAACATGCCCCTCACACAATGTTCCCCACAACAGTTGAATACCAACTAAACTGGCAGCATACATTCAAAACAGTTATTTCTTACCACACAAAGACGGGCTTGGCACTGCAGAGGACTGTATTTTTATCGGCGTGTTTCTTCAGAGGTTAAATTTAAAGGGCTCCCTTCACATTCTTGTCTTACAATTCTGATCAAACCCCAGAGACACTGATGAAGCTTGACTTTGATTCGTTCTTTCTTAGTCATAATTATTTAATGTTCTAGAGAAGCACTCGTGAGTCTTTAAAGAGTTTTAAATGTTGAACTTTTGTTAGTTCAAAAATGTCCTTTTTCAGCCTTTAGTTTGGCATTAGATTCAGATTCTGAATCTTTGCACGTGTTTTCCTCGCCATAGGACCTGGAGGAGCAGCTCGATGAGGAGGAAGCTGCAAGACAGAAGCTGCAGCTGGATAAAGTGACGGCTGAGGCCAAAATCAAGAAGATGGAAGAGGACATTCTGCTGCTGGAGGACCAGAACTCCAAGTTCCTCAAGGTGATAAGATTAGATCTGGAACAGCCAAGTCAAACAAAAACAGAACAAGTCCTTCAATTTGACATCATTAAAAAGTGAAGTGATGGAGAAGGCATATGGTGGCGTAGCAGCAATTTGTTCCCCTCATTAATTGTACTACATTTGAGCCCCACAGCCAAGAGTACAGTTTTCAGACAGAAGAAGAAGGCAAACCCACAAGGTTGTTAGACAGCACTTAGGTTGATTATGAGGGGGTTTTTTCACTCTTGTCCCAGAGTTTCAAATTATTTTCACATTTACTAAAACTTTTCTAGCTCATTATGAGAAACACAGCACATAAATCGAGGGCAGTTCCTCAGTTTGTCCCTTTTTACTAGTGTTGCTAGTGTGGTTGCCATGGTCACACAGCAAGTCGGCAAGTTAAAGAAGTTAAAACACAGATTTTTCTCCAAGCAGATTTTGCTTTAATTAAGACTCAGCGGTTTCAAACTTTGTGAGTTCAGCTCACCAAGTCTCCACCTAAAGGAAGAGGATCCTTTTTTTTAAACAAAAAAACATGCTTGTTGTCCCATCTGTGATTTTTATTTTTTTTTAATTGAAATGTGACGATATCATATCTAAATCATATAGTCTTGGGCCTAAATGCTATCTTCCAATACATTTTATGTCATTGAATTAGATTGTCTCCAGGATGATGGCTTTAAAACAGATTGCATCCAAAATTATTTCCAGTTTACTAAACCTTGCGCTACATTTACTTTTATTTGAGTGTCTTAATCCATCCATCCATTATCTATACACCAGTTTATTCTCTGTGGAGCCTATCCCAGCCTGAGTGTCCTAATGCATCCGCTATATAGATCTCTCTAAGGATTCTACAGTATGAAAAATTATCCAAAGGAAAGAGAGACATTTTATAGATGTGAAAATGAAAGACACATGACTCAGTGATGTTGCAAAAGGATAATAAGTAAACTTCTGTGGCAGTAAATGTACACAGCCTTGGATCGATACAAAACACAGCTACAGAAGAGACTGAAAAAGACCTTCATGAGAGCAGCAGGCTCGCTCTCTTTTTCTTGCTTCTTACATTTGTGCTTTTTTTTTTTCTTCCCGGACACCATAGGCTGCTGCTATCTTCCATCCACCTTGTAATCTCATCACAGAGCTAAAGAGAGGAAATGGTTAGCTTTATGACACGATTAACAGAGCAAATTGTTTATTGCCCCACCAAATAATCAGACGTAGAAGCTGATGAAGTTTGCTGTTTATCATCATTGATCTGTCTGTTGTCTGCCGGTAATGAGATGGACACTCAGATACGGTCACATCAGCTCCTGTGTCAGTACAGTCGGTGATTCCACATCTCTGAAGTATGTTCTGTTTCTCTGTTGATGCGTTTCCTCTTTTCTAAACCTGAACCCCCAACAATTCGTATTTCATAATGCTCAACCCGATCCGCTCTTACTCTGACCAGTTGTCTCTGCCTGCTCTGTTGAAATCAAATCGTATTATTTCCCTCTCTGCAGGCAACCACTTGCTGCCTGAGAACACCACAACAGCACAAAATAGATTTTTATTTTTATAAACTTTAAATGCTCAAAAATGTACCAGAATGCCTCCCAAATGACAGCCGTGGTTTCACACAGAGACACAGTGCAAGACAAATAAAAGTCACATTTTACTGAACTTTGATTCAGCAGCATTACTTCCTTGGTCGTTTGGTATTTATACCTTTTGACCGCCATATGGTAGTTGTGTGCCATAAGCCTCCAGAGTAAACCATACTCTGTTTTTTCCCAACAGGAGAAAAAGCTGCTGGAGGACCGGATCGCCGAAATGACCTCCCAGCTAACAGAGGAGGAGGAGAAAGCAAAGAACCTTGGCAAAGTCAAGAACAAGCAGGAGATGATGATGGTTGACCTGGAGGGTGAGAGGCTCTCAGCAAGCTACTGTTACTGGCTTCGTTTGGTGACTCAAAATAGAATTATCCAAGAACATTTACTAGGACAGATGGATAGACAGGCAGTGTGACAGCAGTCGAAAGTGTAAACCAGGGTCAAGTGAAGAAGATGTGCTGAAATGAACTGTCCTCTCAGCAAGAGGAACAATAAGGGTTTTATGTTTGAAAAGAACAACACGAAGGTCAGTTATAGGACACCCGGTACGACTCTGTCAGCCTTGATTGTGTAAATTTAGCATTTACAGCTGTGCGATGAGTTAATGAGCAGCAAAGCAGCTGATATGATTAGACTTAGTGGTGTCAGGCTGTTTGTAATTACATGTTTGTGTTTTGCCACTTTCTGTGAACTGTTTGTGCATCATTTGACCTCTCTGGAGCTCGTGTCTCGGCCCACTTACTTCATGATATTAACTCTAGTCAGGAAAGTGTTTTGTAATAATCATTGGCCATGTCTGCCTTTTGTTTCTGAGCTGTGTTTATGATACATGCGGTTGTGCCTCCCTTCAGAGCGTTTGAAGAAGGAAGAGAAAACGCGCCAGGAGCTGGAGAAAGCCAAACGCAAACTGGATGCAGAGACAACTGACCTGCAGGACCAGATTGCTGAGCTTCAGGCCCAGATAGAGGAGCTGAAAATCCAACTGGCCAAAAAGGAGGAGGAGCTGCAGGCTGCTCTGGCCAGGTCAGTCACAGGAGTGAATACCAGTCACAATACATGCAAGTGTCAAAATGGAAATCAGAGACAATCTACAAAACATATAAAACTGAGAAATTGAACATCAAACATGAGTTTTTTGGCAGTGATAGTGAACTATAACAACTGTTGTCTCCAAATGAGCCAAAATCGCTGCGCAATAAAATGTTTCCTCGTTTATCTGTAACAATAAACAGGGAGCTGGTTGAGTATTTGTGAAATATGGGAATTTGTTTACTCTTTATGCCTCCCACTAGATTCGTTTAGGTTTAAAGACATCGTGGTAACATTCTGAAAAGCTTCTGTATGTAAACCAAGCAGCAAGTAATAAGTAAACATTGAAAAAATACTTAGTTTGATGCTTCTTTGGTAATGGGGTTACACTCAATATAAAACAAGCTTTAACAAAATATGTATATTTAAAGTCACCTTAAACCTGTCAAATGAAACCTTCCTCATCCTCTGGGAAAAGTTTCTACTGACAGTGTACAAAAGCTAAACAACCAAAGAGAAGATGTTTTAACAAATTAGAGGGAACCGACAAATTCCACATCATATTATTTTTTTTTTTTTTACCAATAATGAAGCAAAATCTATAATATCGTTTGATTTATTGTTCATTGGCCATTCATCAACTGTGATGAGATAGCTGTAGAGAATTCGTTGGGCTTATAAACATTATTTGGGCATTTTCAAGACAGGAACAAGAAAACACCTGATGATGATAATAAGTAGGGACTGACCAGTCACTGATCCATCCATCCATCCATCTATTATCTATACACCGCTTAATCCTCACTGGGGTCGCAGTGGGGCTGGAGCCTATCCCAGCTGACTTAGAGTGAAGGCAGAGTGGTTACTGATTTGATGCAGATATTTGGATGTTCAGCATTTTTCCATTTATCAGTATATTCATTTAAAGATGTACTATTTTGGCTCTGATGCAGCTTCCTGTCTCTATCTGTGGTCTTGTACAACGTCCCGCCCACAGCGCCATCTGATTACACACTACAAGTCATAACTTATCAACACTGAATGATAAATGTTGAAAAGCCCTCTTTTAATTAAACTTAGGCAAAACAGAAATAAAAAACCTACATAACTATCTTTACACCAATTCTAAATATAGATCATCGGTCTCTTTGATTAGTAGTAATCTGCATCAGTATTTGCCATGAAAGAACCATACTGGCCGACCATTCATAATGAGCCATGCATCTACATTTTCAGTTTCAAGTTTGAGCCTTGATGCAGTGATGCAGTGGTGGTTTTTGCCCAGCTACAAAATACAGCACAAAATGGAGTGCAACATACTTAACAAAAAGCAGCTTCATCTTGTACAAGTTCAAGAAAAGCATCCAGCGTCTCTATCAGACTCCACTGGCAGTGCACTCACACATTTATTAGAAAAGATTCTCACTGAAGGACACAACACACTGAAATGTATTTTTACAGCCACTCCAAGGTGGATGCACTCCTCCGAGCTCTCAGCACTACAAGCCCACACTGGTGTGGTAACAATACTGTTAGTGTTGCTCATTTCAGTATATGAAGCTTCACACACCGCTTCTCCAGTGCAGTACATCCCATTTCCATGACAACAGCACTCCACTGTGATACAGCAGAGTCAATACCTGAAATAGACGTTTTAACAAAGACACTCACTCTCTCTCACACACACACACACACACGCAACTCTGATCTCCGACTTAAAGCAGCTATCATCCTCTTCAGCAGCTGCAGCCGCCGTGTCAACACACATACACAGTTTTTTTCCTCAATCTTTCACTCGCATCAGTCCCTCTCCGCTTCACACTGCTCCATTTTCCCTCTGCGACGGCGGCTGAGACCTTTCATCTCGGAGGCAGCCGTGTCTGATTACAAGCAAATTGATGTTGATTGATGCTCTCAGTCCTGGGCTTTGCAGTAGTTTTTTTTTTCTTTCCCCCCACATGAAGGAATCAACAGCTTGGCTTAAACAGGCTTTTATTTCACTGCAAAGGAGGAACTTTTAACAAGATTGTTTTTTATTGTTTTATTGTCCTTTTTTTTTTGTTCCATTTGCCTGCATCAAAGTATTCTTACCCACACTGCAACAAAATGTTTTCTGAATTTATCCCACTCCTCTCTTAATCCCGATTTTCCACACCGTAGGGGAAAATATCCACATTCGGTGCCATATTTAATTTTCTTCCCCCGTTCAGCCGTCATAAATCTGCTCGCATGCAAATGAGGTAAACAGCTGCGGAGGTCGTTCCTCTGGAGGTCATCTCAGATCATCTTCTCCTTACCTCTCTGTAGTTTCCTCCTTTTCACAAGACCAATAATCCAAGACGCAGGGCTCGATGGCAAACGTCTGCCTGACTAATTTCACACGCAGAAATCATCTGTTTAGTCACAGCCGCAGATAATTAAGCTTTCATTAAACTTGATGTGCCTCATTTTTAATTCAGCAGCTATTCTGAGAACAATCACGTCGTCTTTGTTTGCAAAGTGGGGCATTACATTTATATTGGATTCATTATTGCCTTTAATCAAAGCAGCGGTGTTGGGTTAATTGTGTAACTAAATCAAAATGGCGTTCAGTGTTTATTTCCACATATGTGGGGAATGTTACAGGAGTGTTGCAGCCAGCAGGAGGTTTACTTGGCTGCACATCCAGCTGCAAACAAATCCACAGTCTCCATCACAGTTTTCCTGCTCTGATGGAAACACACACACACACACACATTTTGCAGCTTCAGCAGTGAACAGATCACCACACTGCCACCCTGTGTGCACTGGTGGCTAAATTTCCACCAATAAAGGAGATCACCAACCTGCCTCCTTTTTTCAATACACTACAGTCTTTACTACTTCAGACAGGCTATACAGCTTTACACAACTGCATCCGATACATTTTCATCGGCTACATATACTCACTCTTTCTGAATTTCTTTAGTTATTTATTTTATAACAGCTGAGAAATCCTGGAATCAGCATGCGTAACATTATTACAAGTGCTACAAGGTGTTGCCAGTACTGATAACACATGGTAACTCTACATCCTATAGATATTTGACTCCTTACATTTCTTTTTTTTATGCTTCTCTCCTATCTACTTTGTGTAAACAACAAAAAGTTTGTAATGTCTGATCACACGACAGCTGCTTAAAATAGTCATTAAAGGCCTCACAGTTACTTCAAGGAGCACAGAATGTAGTTTTTTTGAGTTTTGTTTCTTTTTTTCATATCTAGGTAATATGAAAGCTTTATTTTAGGCATATTTTATAAATGAGACATGCGGCATAAAGCAGTTTCAGGCATTGATTTACTAAGAGTTTCCATCAGATGAGTAGTTCAAGGACCAATTGTAAAATTCTATGATTCTCTTTGTTTTTGCAGTTTATGGCTGATAAATGGTGTGATTTGAATGTTTTTTTTAATAACAACATGCCTATTATAGCTACAGGTGCGTTTTGTGTTACCTGAAAGACTTTAAAGTGTCGGTTTAAATGTGAATTATTTCATTGATTTAAATTTTATTTCAAGTATTAGTTGAAGGAGAGATCCTGAAAGAGATTCATAATATTTTATGTGTATAAAATGAAAGCAGTTGAAGTAAATAGTTTCTAAGTAGTGGAAGTTGTGGAAATCAGAGGAGGTGAACATTGTTGATTTGCTGCTTGTTTAAAGGTCTGTAGGAAGCCAGTTGTCATCGTTCTCCTATTCGTTTTAAAAGACAATGACATGCGACCGTGTCTTATGTTGCTTATATCAACCAAATTTCTACACAGTTGACCTTTTTTCCTGTCTGATTTGATTGTGTACTTTCTGACAGAACTTTTTTCATGTTAATCTCTTTACAAGAAGTTATAAAAGGATTGTAGCTACCATGCACAAAAATGTACTCTGTGTTCTTGTTCTTGATCTGTTATTTAATGGGCCAAAGTACCACAATATCCCCATTGATCGTTATGATTAAGCTAAAATAGAAAAAATATAAAACAGGTCAAATATATTTGAGATATTAATGTGGTATAAAAAACTAAGAATTCAATAAATCCTGAAAGCTAAAAGCTAACGAGATGTTTGCATTGTTTCCACTAGGATTAACACTAACTTCTATGATTATGATGTACTCTTAAAACTGACTCGTGTGCGTCTGTGTCTCCAACCAGGAGTGATGAGGAGGCCGTCCAGAAGAACAACGCCTTGAAGCAGGTTCGAGAGCTGCAGGCCCAGCTAGCTGAGCTCCAGGAGGATCTGGAGTCGGAGAAAATGTGTCGAAGCAAAGCTGAAAAACTCAAGAGGGACCTGAGTGAGGAGCTGGAGGCTCTGAAGACGGAGCTGGAGGACACTCTGGATACCACCGCCGCCCAGCAGGAGCTCAGGTGCTTGTTTTAGCTGCTCTAATAATAACAATAAAGGGAATTTCTTTACACAAGTTCTCTGGGAGTACTACTGCATATCTGAAAGCAGTTTAAAGCTCTGTGCGGGGCAAAGGGGAGCTCCTTAAAGTCTGACAAATTGCTTCAGTCAGCGTTGGTTGGACCTGAGGACTACAAGTTTGAACATTAAAAAATCTGAAGGTGAGGAGTTAGAAAGAAGTGAGCTTACCAGACCTCTGTGGCTCGCTCCTCATCTCTGCCTGAGGCAAGAGGCTCGAAGCTACATTAGCTGCTGCTCACTGAACATGTCAATCTCTCACCGAGGCATCAGTGGTCGAGCTTGTGTTGTAGATGTGAGTCATACTTCTGGTGTTATTGAAGAAATACAGAGTTTGACAAAAGCATAGCTAATTTATTTACACATTGTGGAAACTCATCTCAATCGTAGCACAGTTTTGGATATTTGACACCAACTGCTACGTGCATTAAGAATTATTTTAGGGGTTTTAGCCTCTTAACATTTTTGTATAGTTTTTCTGTTTCACAAGCCAGATGTAAGATGTTTTTGTGTTGTATCTTAGAAGGTGTCCTCTCTTCCTTTGTGTCCAGGACCAAGCGAGAGCAAGAGGTGGCAGAGCTGAAGAAGGCCATCGATGAGGAGACCAAAAACCACGAGGCTCAGATCCAGGACATGAGACAGAGACACGCCACAGCGCTGGAGGAGCTGTCCGAACAGCTGGACCAGGCCAAGAGGGTGAGAGAGTCGTGAAGGGCTTATACTGGTCAATATTTTTACTAGACTTCTATAAAACATTATCTTTGTTCTGTGCAGTTCAAGGCCAACCTGGAGAAGAGCAAGCAGTGTCTGGAGAGCGACAACAAAGAGATGGCCTGTGAGGTGAAGACTCTGCAGCAGGCAAAGACGGAGTCAGAATACAAGAGGAAGAAGCTGGAGGCCCAGATGCAGGAGTTCATGGCCAGAACCACCGAGGTTGAGAGAGCCAAGGGAGAGCTGAGCGAACGCTCACACAAACTCCAGGTACATACCTCCACAATGAAATTGTGCTCTTAAATGAAAGGATAAAGCCTCAGATTTTTAGCATGAACTAGAGTTTTTGGTTTTGTCTTAATAACTGGTCAGTTTTTATGTCACACTTTTGATTTCATGCTTTCATAACATTGTTTGTGTTTTCTTAGACGGAGCTGGACAATGTGTCTGCTTTGCTGGAGGAGGCAGAGAAGAAAGGCGTCAAACTGGCAAAAGAAGTTGACAACCTGAACAGCAAACTGCAGGACTCGGAGGTAGAAAAACAAACAAACATCAAAGTTCTGTTATAATTGGCTCAAAGCTACAGGGAGCTGGATCTGGAACCAAGATTTTTTTTTTACCTCATATATGATCTACGGAGGTATACTGTGAATGTTAGGAAGGCACAAAGTATTAATGACCATAATGTAATGAAAATAATAGTTCAACCTACCAAATAACATTTTCCATCTGGGAAGAATCTTTCACTTATCCACCTGACAAGAACTAAGAACATCACACTTCAGCTAAGGGTACACGATTAATCACATATTAATCAAATCACAATTTTTACATCCCACGATTAAATGAACGTGTGAACAACAGTAGATTGGGCTGTCAACTGATAAGCAGATGTTTAGCAAGTGGCTTTAGGCATTTGGCTACAATTAAATGTGTATTTTGCATCTAGGAGATGCACTGAATACCCTTTAATAATCTTATTTTAAAACCTAATTTGTTACAAGCATTAACAACATTAATGTAACATCTAAGTAAAAGCAGCAAGAGGCAATAAAATATTTTGTCCCTAACATCAATGAAATAACACGACAAATTATCTTAATGTTTATATAATCTTAATGTAAATCCAAATGATTGTGATTATTGTGCAACCTAAACGTCAGCATTTGCAACAGGTGAAACGGTTTTCTCTCCCTGCTGTTGTTGTTTTTTTTTTTTTCTGACCGTCATATCTGCTTTTGGTCTTCTGTGTAGGAGTTGCGGCAGGAAGAAACTCGTCAGAAGCTGAACCTGAGCAGCCAAATCCGTCAGCTGGAGCTGGAAAAGAACACGTTGCTGGAGCAGCAGGAAGAAGATGAGGAGGCACGACGCAGCCTGGAGAAACAGCTGCAGACGGTGCAGGCTCAGGTACAATATTCACAAACATTAATTAGCCTCATAAACATGTACGCCCACATATGCGGGTACTTGAGCACGTGCAGGTCTGGCACACACAAACATATAAAGCAGCACATCTTTCAGATACCACCGATTTCTGACTGAATGCCAAAAGAGAAGGACCATGCAGAAGTTTCCAGCTGTTTGCCAGCTGTCAGCAGCTGTCGTTGAAGTGCAGAGCAGCGTGCAGACAGCTGTAGCTCAGTGACGCCTTGCAGCGAATTAAAGACCCCATGATGTGAAAATCTGACTCAGTTCGAGATGTGTGGTTCAGATTAAATTAAAGCCGCAAG